AGAGAGAGAGAGAGAGAGAGAGAGAGAGAGAGAGAGAGAGAGAGAGAGAGAGAGAGAGAGAATAAATATTTACTCCATAAAAAGAAATTATAATTAAATCAAATTAATGGTTCTTATATTAAATAAATATATCTTTGTACATTATTCAAACAAATTATTTATTAAAATTTTATACAATTTGTTAAGGTAGAATGCACTGGAAAAAGAGTAAGATTGCATTAATTGGAATTCTGATTGAAAATGGACAAATTATAACTTTTTGGTTGAATTTATTATAATTCTACTTGAAATAGTCAGAATTCTAACTGATCAGAATTTTCTTATTTGTTCATTTTCAGGTTAGAAATTTTTCTTAATCTATCGTATATTAATGTATAATTTTTCTTTATGTATCAGCTACCTTTAACTGTCATTTTCTACAAACTTGTAAATTGCTTTTAAAACACTCGCTGTTAAATAATACTACAACATGATATGTTAACTTTCAACGAGTCATAACGAGATTTCGTTGAAGACATGGATTGACTCAACTTAAGAGAGCTCGAATATTCTCGTGAAATAAATATCAAGACGATATATGTAAAAAAAAATGCTTTCCTTTTTTGTTGTAATACACATGTATAAGAAAATTACGTCAATACTTTCTATTAAAAGTATGTTTCTCCGATAAATATAAACGTCGGAATGTTTGATCGTAGAATTCTTTGCTTTATATTATTTATTATTATTGTAAAATAATATTTTATGTTTTATGATCTTCATATTCTTTTATTTTCTTTCTTTTCTATATTTTTAATAAAAGAACAGATGTACGTTTGTCACATAAGAAAGCCTAGATATTTTTGTAATATTTCACAAGAAGCACCTTTTTTCTTGAAGTCGAAGTTTGAGAAATATTTTTGTACTTTGAAGAAAGAGATATGCGATCTTTACATAAAGGTGCATGTTATTAAATCAAATCTCTCGTAATTGTAAAAGCGCTTTTGTGTTTTTATGATTATGAAACCCTGCATGTTCGTAAAATGAGGAAGCTTAAATATTCTCATGAAATAAAGACGAAGAAGGTATTCAGGTATACTTACAGCTGCAGTTTAAGGATTATAAATATTAAACGACTTAGGAAAGAAACTGAAGATAAACTACAATATAACTACTTTTGCACGGAGATGAGTAACGATCGCCAACAATATTTTTACTTCGTATTTGTTTCTTATTCGCTTCTTTGCGCACCAACAATATAATTATATTTATTAGACCAACAGTACGCTGGGAATCCTGGTACTTACTATCTTTTAATTATCTCTGCTTCGCGTATTTTTTTACCGTTTACTCAGCAATTTCGCACAAAAACTTTTACAGATCTTCCTTTCGATATTTCGTTCCATATTGTAGTTTTCTTGCGGGAAACGAACATTCCTCGCTTCAACGTTGATCTATTAATTTCAGCTGTTCGTTTAATCTGACAAAATCTATGTTAATGTAATATTTTATAAAATATTTGAATGTGTGTGCGAATCTATAGTGTTCCTAAGTTGTTTGATCTTAAAAATTAAATTTAATAATTTTGACCGAGTAAATTTTAAAAAGAAAATAAAGTTCTATTAATTTTATATATGTATATTTTACTTTGTCTTTTACTCTTATTAATTGTAAATCTATTTATAAGAAAAGATAACGAATTATGCAATAAGCAACATATAGTAGAAAAATAATAAGTAGGACTTTATATAAAATTTCAATTTACTTGGTTCTTCGTTCTTTATTCTTCTTCATTCTTCATTGTTCTTTGTTCTTCGTTTTTCCTTCTTCACTCTTCCTTTTTCGTTCTTCGGTGTCTACAGCCTTTTTTGCTTCAATTCGCTTTCTATAGAAGTCTTCATGGTGGATTCGAAGTATCTGATCTTGTCAGCTATCTCGGATACTGAATGCTACTTGAAATAAAGCTTTCGCATCTTCGGCACGACTATAGTCATCGCAAAAAGCGAACAAAACATCATTATGAAGACAAGGTCGTTCTTCCTCTCCGTTTCCTTTGAACTCAATCATCTGTGGCACTTTCACTGTGCTAAGTTCTCTAGACAGAGAAATATTTCAGTCATTTATATCATTATAAATATTATTTATTATTCGAAACGCTAATAATATAATTATTGATGCATAAAAAGTTTATAGAATAAAAATATTTTGTTTTTTTGTTATGCGTAAAAAGGTGTATAAAATGCTAAAAGATTATATATATATTTTTTTTCGAACAGAATTTATGTATCAAAATATTCAAAATATTTAGATTTAGTAAGATAATTCATCTAGTTTTAATTATATGTATATAATCGTGTAATTATTTGCAGAATTATTTAAATCCAAATAATTATGTGCATATAATTGTTTTGGAATTAAATCGTATAATTACTTATGATTTTTTAGACCTAAATTTTAATGTTTACAGGAACAAGAGCATTTGAAACCACAAATCGTACACGCGCTTTCCAATGCAGAGCTCTATTGCCTTGCGCTGGCCAACATATACTCGGATCCTAACTATCACAATCAGAATCACTACGGGATCCTACAAGCCTTGGCAAGGAAAGGTGTCTACGTCGCGGAGCAGAACAATACTCAGCTCACCGAAACGATTCTTATTCAAAACTCACCACTTAAGATGGTAAGCTTACCAGTGCACATGTAACATGAACACGATCTTTGCGTTTCCTCTTCTTCAAGACATTTGAATATCTTCAAGTGTCGAGAAGTGGCAATATGTAACTGATAAAAGATATTAAGTATAATTTGTCTATATAATATCTTCAAGAAGCTGCATAAATTCTATTATATAAATATCTTATTACGATATATTGTATGACATTATTTTAATCAATGCTAATAATATCTTTATCTCGTTACAGTCCGCGCATATGGCTGTGATAGAAGGCCTGATGGTCTTGTACGCGAAAGAGGTGGTGACAGGAGACCGGGTGGTCTCGGCGATACAACGGTTCGACCCCCAAGCCGAGGTGGACGTGCCGTCGGATCACGAGAAGGGTCTTCTGCTTTGGATCAATCACGCGTCGCACGCGTTAATTGCCAAAATTCAGAGCGAGGAGGGTAGTGGCGATAAGACGCGGCTGCCTGAATTACCCGCTGCCAAGGACTTTCAATCTCTGTGCGACGGTGTCGGTCTCGCGGCTGTTGTTGCTTTCTATTGTCCTAGCGAACTCAATTGGATGGAAATTAGAGTGTCGAAAAGACCTTCGGTAGCGGACGCACTACATAATCTCTCCCTGGTACACGCGTTTTGCGTCAAATGCCTGCCCTACTCAATTTTCCACATGCAGCCTGATGACGTTACGTATATGAGAGGGTGCGTTAATCTAATTAAATTCGAAAAACTATACCTGTATCGCACGATTAATTAATTTTACAAATCTTTTATAATACATTGTACTGATTTTAGAAAAGATAATTATTAGCTGTTATTTTTCTTTTGATTATTTTTGTCATAACTTTTAGGTCGATGAAACAGAATTTAGTGGTATTTCTGGCTGAAATGTACAACGTTCTAGAGATTCATCCAGCGAAATGCGTGCGCTATCCTGGTGAGGAGCGGGCGATGCAATACCTAGATGGTACGTAGACATTTTACGATATGGAATGAGACTATCTATTAGAAACAGACTTGCGCGACAATATGTGGTATTCGAGCTATACTTTGATGAGAGCGAAAGGGAGAGAGAGAGAGAGAGAGAGAGAGAGAGAGAGAGA